TTATTATGTATATATATATTATATTCAGTATATTTTCTGTAATTTTCTTTATTATTTATGTAACTATTTTTCTATAGGGTGTGTTAGCTAGTAGGTTTTTGAGATATAGTATCCCTGGCGATATCGCCACTGGCGATAAATAGCAATATTCATAATTTAAATAAATAATTGCAAAATTATAAATTTACGTTAGGAAATATAGTATATCAAAAGCGTAACTTTTATGCATAATGTGCTTTTAATGATCGACGATTCTACAATTCTAATTGTACAGTATCCATAATTCTACAAGTGTAGAATTGCAAAATTGATGATCATTAATAATTTTGTGGAATTGTAGAAACTACGTCAATTCTACAATACGTATCATGCATGTAGAATTGTGGAATTATTAAATCTATTAATGATCACCAATTCTCAATTCTACTGCATTGTAGAATTGTAGATCGCTTGTAGAATTAACTCTGCATGTGTGGAATTAATTCTCCTGCATCCCTAATCATAGTAAAAAACCTTTATATAATCGCACAATTTGCATGTGCGATTATATAGGAGAACGACTGTATATATGAATTTATTTAATTTATATTATTTGAATTATGAAATGCAATATCCTGGTCACAGAAAATCACTTTATGGACATCTTATTTTACAGTAATCAATTCATCGACAATTTTAAAGATAATTAATTTACAGACAGATCATTTCATAGACAATTCCTTTTAACGACAGCTCATTTTATAGATAATCTTTAATACTGATTCGGGAGTTATTTACTATTAATGATTATCTATAAAATAAACTGTCGATAAAATGATCTGTCTATTGTAACGGTTGGTTGGGAGAGCGACGAACAATGAATGCCAGTGTAGCTCCAACCGCTACTAGAAATTAGGTGGATTGAACAATAAAAGGCTTCCATAGGGTATAGTAATTCTATTAGTGCGACTTAATGATGGTGTGAAATTAAGGAGAGAATATCATTATGTCTATGTTACTTTATTATAAGAACAAGGTTCCTCCGTTTATTAGAATTAATGCTTCACTTTTATACATTTTGATTAATATGAAAGAGAACGCATTCTGGAACCTACTTTATGACATCAGAGGCACCACGCTATCATGTTGGCCTCATGTCAATATGCACACTGCTTCCTTCGAGGGCTTAAACAATCACGGTACTAAGTTAGTTATAAAATTAATTCATTACACTATGAAACAAACTGTCTGTAAATTAATTGGTTTATGAATTGATTGTCTATGCAATAAGATGTCTATAAAAGGATTTTCTATGAAGTGATACGTAACACAATATCCTAAACCTAAAAATTAACGAACCCTAATACTACAACGTTCGCGTAACGGATTTTTCGATACATCGTTGTGTAACGCACGTTGTCGAAACTTCGCTGTGCAACGAACGTGCAAATCAAACAAAGTAATCTTTGTTAATGTGAAATCGAAAGCTTTTTCAAAACATCGTCGGTTACTCAAAATTTTACCTAGAACACCTTTTACGCTCTAATAAAAAAAATTCTGGACAAATTTTACTATACGGCGCTCCGTAACGCTAGTCAAATTTCATACGCCTTTAGTGAAGTAACAACAAATAAATATTTACAATTAGCACTTGATTTGTGTCACCTGCAGAAATAAGTAAATTCAATAACGATAAAGCGTACGCAAAGAAATGAAAAAGGAAATCTGTAATATCATTTAATATATAAAATGACAAATATAGCAAAAGAAATTTGTACATATGCATTGTATAGTTTAAATGGGAAATATAAAATGCATATCATATACTTTATGTACATGCGTGCGTACGTACGTACGTTAATGCATACTGCTAAATATAAAATATTATTTTAATACCGGAAATTAAATTCCATATTTTAGTGACAATAAAACCACTTTATACCCTTTATTAATTTAATTTATGCTTATTTTTAATATTCGAACATCTAAAAAAAACTGCAGAGTAATGAATACTTGTTATATTTTATTCATTATCTTAAGTGCAATATTTCAAACTTACTGCTTTCCTGAAGGTCATCCTGAGGGCCGTGGTGGACATGAGTCAGTACTAGTAAATGACAAACTATATTTTATGGGAGGCTCTCGCTTAGTTCCTAAATTAAATCCGAAAAGATATAATTTATCAGACGAAGTATTTTATTTAGACCTTTCATTACAATTCACTACTAGAAATCCTCCATTTATAGACCTTACTGATGGTACTTCACGAATGTTTTTTGGAAATGAAAAAGGTTGATATTGATTTTGAACTATTCATTCATTTTAATTTCCTTTGTTTACAAGCATTCTATTTCCTTATTTATAATAATTAATATATAAATTAGGAACTGCGGTGCTTGGAGGGTCTGATAAATCTGATGTATACTTGATCGGTGGAACGCAGCTAAACCTAGCAACATTAAACTGGAGCGTTACGAACCAAGTTATAAATTGGAACGTTACTGAAGAATTTATTTTTATTTATAGAACTGTTCCTAAAATCTGGACAAAACTTTTTCAAGGTGTTAAAGGAACTCAGCCTCCAAGACGTAGGTCAACTTCAACAGTAATCAAACCTAATGGTGTAATATACATATTTGGTGGGAGAGTAGAGCAAGATATGGGGTCAAGCACGCTTGTCTTGTACAATGATTTGTATCAATTTGATACAATATTATTGTCATGGATTAAAATAACGGCAGACAATACTCCTTCACCCAGAAGCCATAGCACCGCAACATTGCTTCCAAATGGAAAAATTGTTTATATTGGAGGTGTCTCTCAGGACACTCCTGGAAGCCAAACTAATTTAATTATCATGACTGAGGTGAATCTTCATCATTATTGTTATTATGTATAATATGTCTATTTATTCTCACATGAAAAATTTTATTGTAAATGTTATTGTAGATTCGAATTTTTGATACAAATTCTTTATCTTGGTCGTCGCATGTATGTATCTTCTTAGCAATTAATCTTTGAATATATTAGGATATACTTAAATGATATTCTTTATAGACTGCAAACGCTCCATTTTTAATTCAACCACGAGTCGGACATACAACAGTATTAACACCAGATAATAATTCAATTATTATAATGGGCGGGACTTCAAGTTATCAATTAAATCAAACAACCGTTAGTCCAAATTTACTAAAATTAGATATTAGATCCGAACCTTATCAATATTCTATATTACAAACTTCTGGAACAAATCAACCACCTCCACTATCTTTTCATACCGCGAATGTATATTCGGATTATATGATCGTTGCTTTTGGTAATTATTATTATTATTTGCTTTGTGTCATGTAAGACGTTGGCAGAATTAACATTCACCTTTTGAAATAGGAAATATAACAAATGATGTAACTGATTCGATTGAAACCAATTCAATGATCTATCTATTATATATTCCATGCTTAACCTGGGAAGCTACTTTTATTCCCGGTAGATCCGACTGCAAGAACACAGATGGAAATAAAAAGGATCAGAACAATCTTGGATTAATTCTAGGTGTTACCTTTGGCATTCTTGGTTTTATTGGTCTAATTTTAGCAATATTATTATTATATAAGTACTGTTGTAGAGATAGGAACTGTTTTAATAACTGTTTTCCTTCTAATCATCATGTTGCCGCTTATGATCAAAGCAAAAATCTTGACGACCCAACCGATGATTGAACTCGTCTCAAAGAGTGCAACTCGAATCACCCGGGTTGATCGACGGGTCCACCCGGATATAAATATCAATCCTTTAAACTCGGGTCTAATGCTTAACCTTCGTATTGCTCTGAATCTTTAACGTTGACAAGAAACATTTATTAACTAGTAATAAGATAGAGGCGTTTATAAGGGTAGAGCCTTATGTATTAGTCTTTTGGTTTGAAACTTTAAGAAAATGGTAGTGTTAATACAGCAACATATAGAGTTTCATCAAAATAAGTTATAGCAAAAATTTAACTCAGTTTTTAGTATTTTATGATCAAAACATGATAAGAGATGCAGATATTTTTGTGGCAGTGCTACCTCAATTACGTTACAGCTGTAATACTATCATCGCAACATGTTGTAGCAAAATGTGTGCATTATCGTGGTTAGTAATATATGATGTAGGTCGTAATAAATGTCTAAGCTCGTAATGACCGTCGTAGGATGTAATAAATGTCGTAGGTCGTAATACTTGTCATACTTATATATGGCAGATCTAATGTTCAGAAGAAAATAAAATATCTTTACTTTGCAAATGATCTTAGTCTCACAAGAAGCAATATAAAATTACATAGCTCAAATCATAACATAAGATCGTTTAAAGTTGATTAGTTGTTTAACGTCGATATTTGGGGTGGGGGAGAATTTATACACAACATAGCACATTTGATTAAATATTATTGGTCAACTTTAATCACGTGATTACTGAATATTATCCTGCGTTTTGATTGGCTTGTTTAATTTCTGGGGATGAAAAATTCAGATCACGTGATGATCCTCGCTAAATTTTATTGGTGAAAATCGTTTCGTTTTAAAAATTTTGAATTTTTTTAAACTTCTAGCGAAGGTTCCTTGATAACTTTTTCATTAAATCTAGAGATTTTTTTTATTTTAATGCTATAACTCAGTAGAATTGAAATAAAAAAATTAGTAAATTTTATTTGATAGTTATTGAGAAATATTTGTTTAAAGTTTTAAAGAAGTTAGAATATCCATAAATCGGATAAATTTTTCTTTCTTTGAATTTTTACTTGAAGATTTTTCAACAGTAACTAACTAATTTCAACAAATTTTTTTATTACAATTTTATAAGTATGTAGAATTGAAATAAAAAAATTTTAATCAAATTTAGATAGGTTATCATTAAGAAATCTTTACTTAATCTAAATAAAAAATTTGGTTGCAGCTTTTCTTTTATGAATATCTAACTTTAAATATATATTTCTTGATAAATAACTATCTAAATTTGATGAATTTTTATCACAACCAAAACCAACTCTTAATATAACAAACTTTAAAATTAATCAACTTAAATTCTTTAAAATTAAAATTCTTCTTAATAAACTATCCACACATTTTCTTCACTATACTCTTTACTCTAACTATTTTGATAATCTTAACTGCTTTTATTGCAACACTTCAGACTTATCAACTTACTGGCTTAGCTATAATAATTTAGAACAACTTAATCAAATTATAACTACAGTCTTAACTGAATATCTCAATGCTGCTGAATTGGATCTTTTTAATAATCAAATAGAAGAACTCATCTACAAGATATACAATCATGAAGCCTTTATCAAATAGCTACATATCTAAGTTTACATTATATTGAACTTATACTCAAAGGTCTAATTCTATTATCCTTGATTAATACTTTTCAAGAATTTAATATGTCTTACAAAATTGCAGCTCATACTGCTATTAATATATTACTTAAAATTAATGAACAAGTTTACAAACAAATATGAAAATTATACTGTTCAAACTTTCTAATTAGAAAAAACAACACAAATTAATCTATTCTTACTCTAATACACAAAATTTAATACAATTATTAACTATAATCAGATATACTTACACAATATATACTTACTCTTGCCTATATGGAGAATCTAATCAACTAAATACCTATCTTAACACTTGTTTATTAGTTAGTTAAGCTAGAAAAAAATATAATAATTAGTTTATTCATTGGTTTAAATATAGTACATTCTTAAACTTTTTACTAACTATTTTAATTTATGTGAGTTTTTAACCACTCTAGTAGGTTTAGATCATAGACAAAATAGTCTAAGCTTTTATTCTTGTAATGTAGTTTTATTCTTATTTGTACTGATACAAACTGTAGTAATTATTTAGTTAGTTATTACTGTATTTTGATGCTTATAAGACTATTAATAAAAGGGCGTAGTGACTTAGTAAAGTGGTCAAGTTGTCACCTCCTAAGTGGCAGATCCAAGGTTCAATTCCTACAGTAATGATTATTGAATATTTAATCTATATATCAATGGATATGTCAACTTAATTGGGTATACCGGGATAAGACGCTATAACTAGATCTCATGTATTACAAGCTAGGGCACTAATTAGGAAGAACCACTTGCAAATCTCGAGTATGGCATTCATTTGGGAAAGGTTGATAGTCGGGCCTATGAAGAAATGCAAGCCATACAATTGGTGCAAATCTATGATAAGACTATATAAGGGTTATTTCCAGATGCAGAGTAGGACTGCATACTGGTACATACAATCACAAATACAAACACATACACACAAACAAAAACAAACACTATGAACAATTAAGTCTTCTATAGAATATTAATGCAGCTGCCACCTTACTAAAAGATACATCCATTGTAGTTAGTAAGGGGAATGAGGTATGGAGGCGGGCGGTAAAGCCTCTATACACGGAGGACCAGATTAATGATGGTCAGACCAAACATACATGGCAGACTATGGAATCCTTCACAGCTGTGAGAACCGAACTTAAAACAGCGAGTGCCACTACAGAAGAAAGTTTATCCAAATCATCACCAACACCATTAGACTCCTATGATTTGGACATATGCTATAATCGATATCTTAGTCACTATCAACTACCTTTACTAAGAGAACCACAAACTATTAATTCATTTAGACAACATTTAACACTAAACAATGCTAAGCACCTTGCATGTTACCTCCTCATCACAATTAACAGTAATGGATCAGAAGCTCATGTGTGCTTACCTGGTAATCCTGATATATATTCAATCACCACATTTTCTCTATATTATATACTCACCCAACATTCCCTTAAGATCCAAACCTAATACACCAATTAGGCCTTCTACTTCTTATAACATATCAACTATAAACTTAAATAATATATTTTCACCTACACAAACTATTAAAATTGACAATACATCCTACTATAATACACTATCACATACTCTAACCCTATCTAATCCTAACCTAAACAACAACAGTATGACCAAAGAAGCACTCAATATTTCTATAGCTACACACAATGTACGTGGATACAATGTTAATCTTAAACAACAAGTTTGGGAAGATTATTGTCTCTCTAATAATTTAAGCATTATAAGCATAACCAAAACCAAAATTTCCAACATCGATACTGTTAAAAAATTTCACAAATCTTAACACTTTTCATATTACTAGTCTTGTACTGATAGTTCCAAAGCTGGTTCAGCTATTATGCTAAACAAAAAATTTAACCCTTATATACACAACATCATTACCTTTCCTGACTATGCTATTGCCATGGATCTTTTCTTTAAACATAACTTTAAATTCTGAATTATCTCTATATACTTATCTTGTGACAATTCTCAAACTAGTTTACAAGTTCAAAACACCATTATTCAATGGATTCAACAAGCGATAACTGCAGGTCTACAACTAATTATAATGGGAGACTTCAATGTAGAAAACAATAATCTACACTCAACTTTGATTAAATACAAATTACTTCAATTCCTCCAATTCAACAATATATATGACCTGTCATCTTATACACAATCTTCTACATATACTTGGCAAAGCACTAGACATAAAAGTTGTATTGACTATATATAGGCTAACTATACAATCCTTCGTTACTTAACTACTTTCTATACAGATAATCCTAAAACTAGTACTAAAAGTGATCATCAGATCCTAATCTCTTCATGATCATTTCCATATGCATTTATTAGCAAAAAACGAACAGCAACCCCAAGTATTTCTTTATAAAAATATGAATCAGGAATAATAGCAGACATAAATAGATCAAGTTACATCTAATCTTAAAGCAAACAACACACCACTTGATATCAATACAATAGAAACACTTGAGTCTACTTGGCATAAAATACAAACAAGC